CCAGAGTGACCCTACACACAACAGAATGAAACATCATCTGGTCCTGTACCATTCTCAAAATCGCCGCTGCTATGCTTGAACACCAAGTTGCTGCTACTATGTCAGTCCATCTCGTTGGGAGTCTTCCTTTATTTTTCTGACCCTCCATTTTGCCAAATATGATGTCCTTCTCCAGAGACCTATTGATAATATGTCCAAATTAATAAGAGACAAAGTGTGGCCACCTTGGCTTCTAAGGAGCATTCTGGTTGTACTTCTTCCAACACAGATTTGTTTGTTCTTCTGACAGTCCACGGTACCTTTAATATTCTTCTCCAGCACCATAACTCAAACGCATCAATTCTTCTACAGTCTTCATTCCACGTCTTTTCTGAATCTGACTTGAATTTCTGGCAGCTCCCTCTTGAGTACTGTTGCAATTGCTTTTGTGTTATCTTCAACAAAATTGTACCGGAATGTGCTATTAACGATTTGTTGTTGTTAAGTACCGTGGAGTCGGTTCTGACTCATAGTCAACCTGCACAGGGTTTCTGAGGCTGTAAATCTTTACCGGAGCAGAAAGCCTCATCTTTCTGCTGAGGAATGCCTGGTTGTTTCGAACTGCTGACCTTGAGGTTAGCAGCCTGATTCGTAACCACTATGCTACCAGAGCTCCTTGCTATTAACGATATTGTTTGATAATTTCTCAAGTCTGTTGGATCACCTTTCTTTGTAATGGGCACAAATATGGATCTCTTCCCATTGGTTGGCCAGGTCTTCCAAATCCATTGACATATACAAGTGAGAGCATCTAGCATGGCATCTGTTGAAACATTTCAATTAGTTTCCCATCAATTCCTGGAGTCTTGGTTTTCACCAATTCCTTCAATGCAGCTTGGACTTCTTCCTTCAGTACTGTTAATTCTTGATCACATGTGACCTCTTGAAATGGTTGAATGTCGACCCTTTTTTTTTTAATCCTTCCTTCCTTTTTTCTTTAACAAACAGACATTTTATTTTTCACAGTTTGGGAGGCTAGAAGTTGAAGCTAGCACCAGCACTAAGGGGGAAGGCTTTCTCTCTGTGTCAGTTCTGAAGAGAAGTCTGTCTCTTCTGACCTTCTGCTCTTGGGCAATCTCTGATCAGCGTTGCATGTCTTTTCCCAACTTGCCCTTCCATTTTCTTTGGCTGCTTCCTGTGTCTTCAATATTTGTACCATAGAATACTTCATTATTGCAAGTCAAGTTTTAAATTTTTTCTTCAGTTCTTTTAGCTTGAGAAATGCCGAGCATGTTCGTTACTTCTGGTTTCCTAACTCCAGGTCTTTGCACGTGCCATTATAATATTTTCTTTGTCTTCTCGAGCTGCCCTTTGAAATTTTGTTTCTTTTTTTCCATCTACTTTAGCTTCTCTGCATTCAAGAGCAAGTTTCAGAGTCTCTTCTGACATCAATGGAAGCCTTTGGTGCCTCCATGTCTTTTTAATGACATTTGCTTTCTTTATGTATCATGTTCTGGTCTTCAGTTTTTAAAGCATCAAATCTAGTCTTGTGATCGTGTCTAAATTCAGGTACAATAAACTCAAGATCATATTTAGACTTCATGAACTTTAAAAAATTGTCTTCAACTTCAGCCTGAACTGCAGATGAGCAATTGATGGTCTGTTTCACAGTCTGTCCCTGGCCTTATTTGGGGCGATGATATCGGGCTTCTACATCTGTTTTCACAGATGTAGTCAGTTTGACTACTGTATATTTCATCTAATGAGCTCGTCTTTTATGTTGTTGAAAAAAGGCATTTGCAAGGAAGAAGTCACTGGTCTTGCAAAATTCTGTCATGCTATCTTCAGCATCATTTCTATCACCAAGGCCATGTTTTCCAACGACTGATCCTTCCTCTTTGTTTCCAACATTCACATTCCAATCACCAGTAATTATCAATGCATCTTAATTGCAGATTTGATCAAATTCAGACTGAAGAAGTTGGTAGAATTCTTCAATTTCTTTATCATTGACTTTAGTGGCTGGCGCATACATTTGAATAACAGTGGTATTAACTTTCTTGTAGGCTTATGGGTATTATCCTATTACAGACAGTATTGTACTTCAAGATAGAGCTTGAAATCTCTTTTTGAGGGTGAATGCAACACCATTCCTCTTCAGTTTGTCACTCCTGGAAGAGCAAACCATAATATGATTGTCAGATGCAAAATGGCCAATAGCGGTCCATTTCAGATATCAATTTTTATGAGTTTTGTTTCTTCTTTGATAACTTCCAATTTTCCTAGATTCTTATTTCATACATTACAGGTTCTGATTATTAACAGATGTTTCCAGCAGCTTCTTATTTTAATTGTCTCATGTTAGCCAATCAAGGTCCTGAATGCTTTTCTCCATTCACAGGAACGTACTTCTGAAAGCTCAGACCGACAGGTCTACTTTGACACAAATGGAGTTACCAGGAATTGTGGCCAGTTCAGTGACAACCATTTGTCTCTGTGTGCTTGATTTTTGTTTTTACATTTTATTGTGCTTTAGGTGAAAGTTTTCGTAGAAAACTAGTTTTCTCTATCAAAAGTTTCTACATACATTGTTACAGCAACTATTATTTACTATTTACTATTTTTATTATTGGTTGCTTTTACCAGGGCTGTGACAGAGATCACATAGCTGGCAAAGCTTGGACATTTCCTATTGGGCCTTTAAAGCCCCTAAGTAGTACAGTGTACGCTCTACTACGAATGTACAGGTAGGCAGTTTGAACCCACCCAGCGGCACCATGAAACAAAGGCCTGGTGATGTGCGTCTGTAAAGATTATAGCCAAGAAAACCTTGTGCATCAGCTCTGCTCCATAACACTGGAATGGACCGGAAATCCTTGCCTTGACAGATCTATTCCCAGGGTGGTGCGGTGCTACAGGATAAGCACTTAACCACAAGGTCAATTTGAACCATGAAGGTTAGCCATTCACCACCAGTCGCTGTGCGTCAGAACCAACTGATGGTACTTAACATGAACAATTCCCAGCATGGAGTTCTGGTGTGGCGCTACAGGATAAGCGCTGGACTGCTAACCACAAGGGTGTGATTTAAACCCACTAGCCCCTCCTTGGAAACAGTATACACAGGTTCACTCTGAGTCCGTACCGACAACAGCACTTAACAGGTCCCAGGGTCCCACCAGCCAGCAGGGGGCAGCAGAGAGCTGCTCGTGGGGCTCGGGCAGGGCGGGGCGGCAGAGGGCGTTCCCTCTTCTGAAGGAGGTTTTGGGAGTGTGAGATGGGACGTTTGGGCGGAGGTTTTATAAACAGGGCCTGAAATGTGAGGGGAAGTTAGAGCTAGTGGTGAGGTGGGGGTGGATTAGTCAACACCTAGAAGGGAGGCAGGTGAGCCCGGGAGCCACCTGGGGCTGGACTTCCGGCCAAGGCAATAGGGAGTCATGGAGATCTCGGTGGTAGAGAGATAGTTGCAGACTAGGGGTTGGGGCTACCTCTTAGGTAGCTGTGTCTTGGGGAAGCTACTACAGAGATCCCGAGGCAAGATGAGGAGGGCTGAAAAAAGCGGTGGGGAGGGACAGCTGTGGGGAGCCTTCCAAACCCCACACAACCCCAGTGTTTACCTTGGGAGGAGGCTGGGTGAGGCACTGTGCTCCTAGCTCTCTGTCTCTTTCTCACTCCCTCCCCTTTGTCTCCCCTTCCCCTTCTCTTTCCACCCCTCACTTTCTCCCTACCCCCCTTCCTCTCTAATTCCCTCTCCTCCCCTTTTCCTTTTCTCCATCTCCTCTCTC